CTACAGAACGTGAAGAACCAGTGGCATCTACGTCTACAGAACGTAAAGAACCAGTGGCATCTACATCTACAGAACGTGAAGAACCAGTGGCATCTACATCTGCAGAACGTGAATAACCAGTGGCATCTACATCTGTAGAACGTGAAGAACCAGTGGCATCTCCATCTACAGGAGATTATACAACTTTTAAAGCCATTCCCCGTGTTTAGTGTACACGCCATACAACACGTTTGGAATCAACAGGAGTAAAGTTGGACTTAAGAACAAATCGACCTATGAACACAGACCTCTGTAACCCAACTCGTTCGTAAGTAGAGAAATCGCTTTATACACGGCAGCTACATACACTTGTGTATGCGCACAAAGCAGCTATACATACGTACAGACACTCGACACTAGTTCTGTACTCTCTGGTTATTTGTTTCATTGACCACCAACACTCCCAATCTACAACTGGTCCAGCAGTGTGGCCAGCAGGCTGCCCGGCCGCCTTTGTTTCCCCGGCTCTGTCCGTTGGTCGGGTATTGACACGCTCGCTCGCACGTTTGCTCAAAAACGCTCGTTCGCTCGTTCTCTCTCTACGCCATAGTTACCATGGAGGTTGAGTGGTGGGGGACTTTGGGTCATTCATTAACCAACCCGCCAGTGGAAAAAACATCCTGAGACCTTCAGTCTCTTCCCATGGTCTTTTTTTATAACGAGAGAGAGAGAGACAAGAGCCACAGACTTGAACCTACAGAGACGCGAGCGCAGCAAAGACAAAGGTAATCTCCCCATGTATAGCCTTTAACAACTGTCGGGGCAAGTGCTGTTAGCGATCAGCAGCACCTATGAAGGCCGGCACTGTGGCAATACGAGGGGGTGGGTGGCCAGCACCACGCCCGGCCACCTTTGTCTCCCCCAGTGACGATGTTTACCATAAACCACTACACCAGGTACTCATTTGAGGCTGAGTCGACCTAGGGGAGGCCCAGGACCGGTTCAGATCAATCATCACTGGTGTCGGCCAACGTAAGCGGGAATTGAATTTGGGTCGCTAGTTTGGTGGTGCGGTACTCCACATGTAGAGACACGTGGGAGACCCGACAACAACCGGGATTCGCCACTAAGTGGCAGTGACGTCACCACGACGCTTGTGCCAGGCCATGTGCACCTTGAGGCCACGTGAAGTGCCGAACGCCCGCTGGCAGGAGGTCACGGGGCAGACCCAGGTGCCACGGGTCGACTGACTGAGATGACCGAGATGGCTGGCTGATGCACCACCTGTGCCCCCCTACTGTGCCAACCTGCTGTGTCTTAGCCACCCGGCGCTCCGCTCGTTGTTGTGAGCGTCGCTCCTCCGCCCTTCGTTGTTGTTGGAGGGCGACTGCCTCCAACTGCCCAGTAGCAGCGTCCTTCACGAGCCTCCTCCACACACACACTTAGATATGTACACACACTCACACACTTAGATATATACACACTCACACTTAGATATATGCACACACTCACACTTAGTTATATACACACACACATATATACACACACTCACACTTATATATACAGACTCACACTTAGATATATGCACACTCACACACTTAGATATATACACACTCACACTTAGATATATGCACACACTCACACTTAGATATATGCACACACTCACACTTAGATATACACACACTCACACTTAGATATATACACACTCACACACTGAGATATATACACACACTCACACTTAGATATATACACACACACATATATATACACACACTCACACTTATATATACACACTCACACTTAGATATATGCACACTCACACTTAGATATATACACACTCACACTTAGATATATACACACACTCACACTTAGATATATACACACTCACATACTTAGATATATACACACTCACACTGAGATATATACACACACTCACACTTAGATATATACACACTCACACTGAGTTATATGCACACTCACACTTAGATATATACACACACTCACACTTAGATATATACACACACTTAGATATACACACACACTCACACTTAGATATATACACACACTCACACTTAGATATATACACACTCACACTTAAATATACACACACTCACACACTTAGATATACACACACACACTTAGATATACACACACACACTCACACTTAGATATACACACACACTCACACACTTAGATATACACACTCACACACTTAGAGATATATATACAAACACTCACACTTAGATATACACACACTTAGATATATACAACAACAACCGCCATTCGCTATTAAGTGGCGGTGAAGTCACCACGACGCTTGTGCCAGGCCATGTGCACCTTGAGGCCACGTGAAGTGTCGAACGCCCGCTGGCAGGTCACGGGGCAGACCCAGCAGGTGCCACGGGTCGACTGACTGAGATGACTGGCTGATGCACCACCTGTGCCCCCTACTGTGCTGTGCTTTAGCCACCCGGCGCTCCGCTCGTTGTTGTGAGCGTCGCTCCTCCGCCCTCCGTTGTTGTTGGAGGGCGACTGCCTACAACTGCCCAGTAGCAGCGTCCTTGACGAGCCTCCTCCACACACACTCACATAGAGACACGCATTAAAACACACAGCACACACTCACACGGGCGACCGCACAAGCTGGGGGTTATCAACAATCGCATGCAAACAAACCGGTGGTGGTTTTCTCATCCGAATCGATTTTTTTTTTATATCCGATAGGGTGGGAGTCAAACCACACGGTTAGGCCCAAGGATATAAACAAACACGAAATTCTATTTTTGTATTTTGACCGGGTGTAAGCCATGTTTCTTGCGGAAGTGCGGAGTTGGCCTGATAACTTGAATCTAAATTGCCTTATGGTTGTTATTGTTTGTTTTCTAGATTTGAAGCTTTCGTGACTGCAAGGATCCATACTCTTTGGTTCTATTCGGTAAAGTCACGTAGGTAAAAAATAAAACAACAAAAATCACGACGTTTCGGCCACAACACAAGTGGCCTTCATCAGGTGAAGGGACCGGACTGTGTTCACTCCAGCGCTGTCCTCTGGACAGTCCGGTCCCTTCACCTGATGAAGGCCACTTGTGTTGTGGCCGAAACGTCGTGATTTTTGTTGTTTTATTTTTTTACCTACGTGGTGACTTTACCGAATCGAACCAAAGAGTATGTTATTGTTTGTCTTGCATCACACTGGGATTTTTGCACACAGCGTTGTAAAACGGTGTTTTGTTTTTAATTCTGGAAGATTTTCTGGTTTATCCCAGGATGTTTCTGTTGCGCGTCGTCATCGCTTTAAGATGTTTCTCTGTTCATGTTTACTTTGTTGCGGTTGCGCCCGACTCAAGAGTCGCATGGCGCACAGGGCTATACCTAATACATGAAACTTGAAAACTTGAGCTGCTACGTAGAAGCTCGCTTTCCGAAGCGACCCCGGTGGCCATCACAAGCGATAGCAGCTCGACGAAGTTGGCGGCTTATCAACGCCATCAACCGCGTGGAAGTTCACGACGGCAGCCAAATGGCCCTCTAAGACGCGTGGTGACGTTGATTCAACAATGCGGAGGGGGAGAACCGAGGGGAGCTGTAGAAAGATCAACGCGACCAACGGAGAGACGCAAACTCCAAATATATACAGCTGCAGTCATTGTCAGAGTCGGGATCGAACCCATGTACTTCCCATATACCAGGCGAGGTAGACGACATGCCCAGCCACCGCATGCCCAGCCACCGCATGCCCAGCCACCGCATGCCCAGCCACCGCATGCCCAGCCAACGCATGCCCAGCCACCGCATGCCCAGCCAGCTTTTGTTTGGCCGGATTGAGGGGACTAGGCGGGCACGGCACGGGCTAGAGAAGAGATGGAGTGACGTGGTACAGGAGGACGTGGAGCTGAGTGGACTTGCCGATGACCAGTACCAGCGGTGTCAAGATCGGCCTCTGTGGAGGAGGCTCGTGAAGGACGCTCTACTGGGCAGTTGGAGGCAGTCGCCCTCCAACAACAACGGAGGGCAGAGGAGCGACGCTCACAACAACGAGCGGAGTGCTGGGTGGCTAAAGCACAGCAAGTTGGCACAGTAGGGGGCACAGATGGTGCACCAATCATCTCATTAAGTCGACCCATGGCACCTGCTGGGTCTGTCCCGTGACCTCCTGCCGGCGGGCGTTCAACACTTCACGTGGCCTCAAACGTGCATTTAGCCTGGCACAAGCGTCGTGGTGACGTCACTGCCACTTCGTGGCAAATTGTTTGTACTTGGATGGGTGTGGTGTGTGAGTGTGGGAAGCGATAGTATATCGGTTGGCGCCCCGCACTCCGAACCTGGTGCCCCGAGTTCGATTCCCCACTCACGGGCAACGCCAGTGACAATTATCTGAACCGGCACCCTTACACGCAATCAGGAGAGAGAATGTTCTGGCATTAAACCACATCCTTCTCACCCATCTCCCTCCCTGTGCCACATTAGGAATGGGCCACTCTTTTCATAAGTCCCTGTGTGCTGTGGAGTACATCAATGCACGCGTGTGCACCAGCATGCGATGACTGAGTTGGGCCTGTAGGTGGCTGGCAGGGTTATTGATTAACCGGACGTGTACACCAGTCACGTGGTTAATGGCGACTCGGTTGAGGATTGCTGCGCGTGACACCACGTGCTGTTGCATCTTACAGATTGACCATGATAACTGCGTTTGCCCTCGACTTGGAGAACCTCCCCACGTCCTTCATTTCGAGTGCGCAACATCCCTCCTCTCCCTCCTCATCCTCCCTCTCTCTTCATTCTCCCTTCCTCCTCATCCTCCCTCCTCACCCTCCCTCCCTCCTCCTCATCCTCCCTCCTCATCCTCCTCATGCTCCCTCTTTCTTCATTCTCCCTCCCTCCCTCCTCTTCATCCTCCCTCCTCATCCTCCCTCCTCATCCTCCCTCTCTCCTCATCCTCCCTCCCTCCTCCTCATCATCCCTCCTCATCCTCCTCATCCTCCCTCCCTCCTCATCCTCCCTCCTCATCCTCCATCTCTCCTCATCCTCCCTCCCTCCTTCCTCCACCCCAGGATGATGAGGAACCACGAGGAGAAGCGGCGTAGCTGTGGCTCCCTGCAGCAGCAGCAGCAGCAGGAGGAGGAGGGACTCTGCGGACTGCAGCAGAAGCAGGAGAACTGCGGCGATGATGAGGAGGGCGGGGGAGAGGTGCGGGGGAAGGGGCAGCGCGAGGGGGGCTGGAGGAGCTGGCTCGTGGTGGTAGCGGCCACGTGGTGCAACGGCTCCATCTTTGGCATCCAGAACTCGTTTGGGGTGCTCTACGTGGCCATGCTGGAGAGGTTTGGGGACAGCGACGACACCAGCCTGCGCTTCAAGACCGGTACGGGGGGGGGGGGAGGAGGCGACCCGGAAGGAGACACTTGGAGACACGGGGTGGGGAGACACGGGGTGGGGAGACATGGGGTGGGGAGACACGGGGGGTGAGGTGACATGGGGGGAGACACGGGGGGGAGACACGGGGGGGAGACACCGGGGGGAGACACCGGGGGGAGACACGGGGGGGAGACACGGGGGGGGGAGAGACACGGGGGAGAGACACGGGGGGAGACACGGGGTGGAGACACGGGGGGGAGACACTGGGGGGAGGCACGGGGGGGAGACACGGGGGGGAGACACGGTGGGGAGACACGGGGGGGGGTAGACACGGGGGAGATACGTGGGGGAAGATGAGGGGAGACACGGAGGGAGATTGGGAGACACGAGGAGATGCGGGGGGGGATGTGGATACTATGGAGAAACGGTGAGATATGGGGGGGTCACAGTGGTTGCTGTGGTTGCTGTTGTAGTGGTGGTGGTCACGGTGGTTGTTGCTGTTGTGGTGGTCACGGTGGTTGTTGTTGTTGTTGCTGTTATGGTGGTGGTGGTCACGGTGGTTGTTGTTGCTGTGGTGGTCACGGTGGTTGTTGTTGTTGTGGTGGTCATGGTGGTTGTTGCTGTTGTTGCTGTTGTGGTGGTGGTCACGGTGGTTGTTGTGGTGGTTGTGGTCACGGTTGTTGTTGCTGTGGTGGTGGTGGTGGTCACGGTGGTTGTTGCTGTTGTGGTGGTGGTGATGGTCACGGTGGTTGTTGCTTTGGTTGTTGTGGTGTGGTGGTGGTCACGGTGGTTGTTGCTTTGGTTGTTGTGTGGTGGTGGTCACGGTGGTTGTTGTTGTGGTGGTGGTGGTAGTGGGCGCAGCGTGGGTGTTGTTGTTGCTGTGGTGGTGTTGATCACGGTGGTTGTTGTTGTTGTGGTGGTTGTTGCTGTGGTTGTTGTTGTGGTTGTTGTTGTTGTTGTGGTGGTGCAGCGTGGGTGTTGTTGTGGTTGTTGTTGTTGTTGTGGTGGTGGTGCAGCGTGGGTGTTGTTGTTGTTGTTGCGCAGCGTGGGTGGGTTCACTCTCCATGGGAGTCATCTTCCTGCTGTCTCCTATCGTCTCCGTGTGCTCCGACCGCTTCGGCTGCTGCCGCACGGCCGTGGTTGGCTCCACGGTCGCCTTCATCGGCATCCTGAGCTCCTCGTTCGCCAGGTGGTGCCACAGCCACAACCATCGTCATCATACACACAGCACCACAACCATCGTCATCATACACACAGCACCACCACCACCATCGTCATCATACACACAGCACCACCACCATCGTCATCATACACACAGCATCACCACCACCATCGTCATCATACACACAGCACAACAACCATCATACACACAGCCTCACCACCACAACCATCGTGATCATACACACAGCACCACAACTATCATACACACAGCCTCACCACCACCATCGTCATCATACACACAGCACCACAACCATCATACACACAGCCTCACCACCACAACCATCGTCATCATACACACAGCACCACAACCATCATACACACGGCACCACCACCATCGTCATCATACACACAGCACCACCACCGCCATCGTCATCATACACACAGCACCACCACCATCGACATCATACACACAGCAGCACCACCATCGTCATCATACACACAGCACCACCACGACAACCATCATCATCATACACACAGACCCATTACCACCACCATCGTCATCATACACACAGCACCACCACCACCATAGTCATCACACACACAGCACCACCACCATCGTCATCACACACACAGCACCACCACCATCGTCATCATACAAACAGCACCACCACCATCGTCATCATACACACAGCACCACCACCATCGTCATCACACACAGCACCACCACCATCGTCATCATACACACAGCACCACCACGACAACCATCATCATCATACACACAGCATCACAACCACCATCGTCATCATACACACAGCATCACAACCACCATCGTCATCATACACACAGCATCACAACCACCATCGTCATCTTACACACAGGCTCACCATCACCACCACCATCGTCATCATACACACAGCACCACCACCATCGTCATCATACACACAGCACCACCACCATCGTCATCATACACACAGCACCACCACCATCGTCATCATACACACAGCCTCACCACCACCACCATCGTCATCATACACAGCCTCACCACCACCATCGTCATCATACACACAGCACCACCACCACAACCATCGTCATCATACACACAGCACCACCACCACCATCGTCATCATACACACAGACTGACCACCACCACGACCGTGGTCATCATACACACAGCACCACTACCACCATCGTCATTATACACACAGCCTCACCATCACCACCATCGTCATCATACACACAGACTCACCACCACCGTCATCATACACACAGCCTCACCACCACCATCGTCATCATACACACAGACTCACCACCACCGTCATCATACACACAGCCTCAACCACCACCATCGTCATCATACACACAGCACCACCACCATCGTCATCATACACACAGCACCACCACCATCGTCATCATACACACAGCACCACCACCATCGTCATCATACACACAGCACCACCACCATCGTCATCATACACACAGCCTCACCACCACCATCGTCATCATACACACAGCCTCAACACCACCATCGTCATCATACACACAGCACCACCACCATCGTCATCATACACACAGACTGACCACCACCACCATAGTCATCATACACACAGCACCACCACCACCATCGTCATCATACACACAGACTGACCACCACCACCATAGTCATCATACACACAGCACCACCACCACCATCGTCATTATACACACAGCCTGACCATTACCACGATCGTCATCATACACACAGACTCACCACCACCGTCATCATACACACAGCACCACCACCATCGTCATCATACACACAGACTGACCACCACCACCATAGTCATCATACACACAGCACCACCACCATCGTCATTATACACACAGCCTGACCATCACCACGATCGTCATCATACACACAGACTCACCACCACCGTCATCATACACACAGCCTCACCACCACCATCGTCATCATACACACAGCACCACCACCATCGTCATCATACACACAGCCTCACCACCACCATCGTCATCATACACACAGCACCACCACCATCGTCATCATACACACAGCACCACCACCACAACCATCGTCATCATACACACAGGACCACAACCATCATACACACGGCACCACCACCATCGTCATCATACACACAGCACCACCACCATCGTCATCATACACACAGCAGCACCACCACTATCGTCATCATACACACAGCACCACCACCATCGTCATCATACACACAGCACCACCACGACAACCATCATCATACACACAGAACCATTACCACCTCCACCACCATCGTCATCATACACACAGCACCACCACCACCATAGTCATCACACACACAGCACCACCACCATCGTCATCACACACACAGCACCACCACCATCGTCATCATACACACAGCACCACCACCATCGTCATCATACACACAGCACCACCACCATCGTCATCATACACACAGCCTCACCACCACCACCATCGTCATCATACACAGCCTCACCACCACCATCGTCATCATACACACAGCACCACCACCACAACCATCGTCATCATACACACAGCACCACCACCACCATCGTCATCATACACACAGACTGACCACCACCACGACCGTGGTCATCATACACACAGCACCACTACCACCATCGTCATTATACACACAGCCTCACCATCACCACCATCGTCATCATACACACAGACTCACCACCACCGTCATCATACACACAGCCTCACCACCACCATCGTCATCATACACACAGACTCACCACCACCGTCATCATACACACAGCCTCAACCACCACCATCGTCATCATACACACAGCACCACCACCATCGTCATCATACACACAGCACCACCACCATCGTCATCATACACACAGCACCACCACCATCGTCATCATACACACAGCACCACCACCATCGTCATCATACACACAGCCTCACCACCACCATCGTCATCATACACACAGCCTCAACACCACCATCGTCATCATACACACAGCACCACCACCATCGTCATCATACACACAGACTGACCACCACCACCATAGTCATCATACACACAGCACCACCACCACCATCGTCATCATACACACAGACTGACCACCACCACCATAGTCATCATACACACAGCACCACCACCACCATCGTCATTATACACACAGCCTGACCATTACCACGATCGTCATCATACACACAGACTCACCACCACCGTCATCATACACACAGCACCACCACCATCGTCATCATACACACAGACTGACCACCACCACCATAGTCATCATACACACAGCACCACCACCATCGTCATTATACACACAGCCTGACCATCACCACGATCGTCATCATACACACAGACTCACCACCACCGTCATCATACACACAGCCTCACCACCACCATCGTCATCATACACACAGCACCACCACCATCGTCATCATACACACAGCCTCACCACCACCATCGTCATCATACACACAGCACCACCACCATCGTCATCATACACACAGCACCACCACCACAACCATCGTCATCATACACACAGGACCACAACCATCATACACACGGCACCACCACCATCGTCATCATACACACAGCACCACCACCATCGTCATCATACACACAGCAGCACCACCACTATCGTCATCATACACACAGCACCACCACCATCGTCATCATACACACAGCACCACCACGACAACCATCATCATACACACAGACCCATTACCACCTCCACCACCATCGTCATCATACACACAGCACCACCACCACCATAGTCATCACACACACAGCACCACCACCATCGTCATCACACACACAGCACCACCACCATCGTCATCATACACACAGCACCACCACCATCGTCATCATACACACAGCACCACCACCATCGTCATCATACACACAGCACCACCACCATCGTCATCACACACAGCACCACCACCATCGTCATCATACACACAGCACCACCACCATCGTCATCATACACACAGCCTCACCACCACCATCGTCATCATACACACAGCACCACCACCACCATCGTCATCATACACACAGACTGACCACCACCACCATCGTCATCATACACACAGCACCACCACCACCATCGTCATTATACACACAGCTTGACCATCACCACAACCATCGCCATCATACACACAGCACCACCACCACCACCACCATCGTCATCATACACAAAGACTCACCACCACCACCACCATCGTCATCATACACACAGCCTCACCATCACCATCGTCATCATACACACAGCACCACCACCACAACCATCATCATCATACACACAGACTCACTACCACCACCACCATCGTCATCATACACACAGCATCACCACCACCACCATCGTCATCATACACACAGCCTCACCACCAACACCACCATTGTCATCATACACACAGCCTCACCATCACTGTCCTCATACACACAGCCTCACCACCACCACTACCACCACCATCGTCATCATACACACAGCCTCACCACCACCACCATCGTCATCATACACATAGCCTCACCACCACCATCGTCATCATACACACAGCCTCTCCACCACCACCATCATCATCGTCATCATACACACAGCCTCACCATCATCATACACACAGCCTCACCACCACTACTACCACCACTATCGTCATCATACACACAGCCTCACCATCACCACCATCGTCATCATACACACAGCCTCACCACCACCACTACCACCACCATCGTCATCATCACACAGCCTCATCACCTCTACCACCATCGTCATCATACACACAGCCTCACCACCACCACCATCGTCATCATACACACAGCCTCACCACCACCACCATCGTCATCATCACACAACCTCATCACCTCTACCACCATCATCATCATACACACCGCCTCACCACCACCACCATCGTCATCATACACACAGCCTCACCACCACCACCATCGTCATCATACACCCAGCCTCACCACCACCACCATCGTCATCATACACACAGCCTCACCATCACCACCACCACCACCGTCATCATACACACAGCCTCACCACCACTACTACCACCACCATCATCATACACACAGCCTCACCATCACCACCATCGTCATCATACATACAGCCTCACCACCACCATCATTATACACACAGCCTCACCATCACCACCACCATCATCATACACACAGCCTCACCACCACTACCACCACCGTCATCATACACACAGCCTCACCACCACCACCACCATCATCATACACACAGCCTCACCACTACCACCATCGTCATCATACACACAGCTTCACCACAACGAAGCACCTGCCTGGGTATTTTGTGCCATCGGACACTCCACCCCCACAACTCCCAATTGGTGATGGGGCAGTTGTGGAGAGAGTGGAGAGTTTCCCATACCTGGGCAGTGTGTTCATGACCGGCTCCAGTTTAACAGCAGAGGTCTCACTCAGAATCAGGTCAAGCGGCATTATCTTAACATCGGTTGCGTAACGCCGCTGTGTGCAAGCTACCTGGTCTGTCGCTCCGCACTAAGCTTCAGGTCTTCTCGGCCACGGTCATTCCCTCCCTTCTCTACGCTTGCGAAACGTGGACCCTCCTAATGGAACTTCTTCGCCGGTTAGAAATATTTAGGCTGGCCTGCCTACGATCCATCCTGGGTTTAACCAGGCTGCATTCTGTGAGGAGCTCACAAATCCTTGAAAGATCTGGACACAGTCCCATCGGTGAGCTCCTCCGGCAGGCAAGGCTGCATTGACTGGGTCATGTAGCCCGCAAGCCCAGCCACCGCATGCCGAAACAGCTTTTGTTCGGCCGGATAGAGGGGGCTAAATGGGCGCGGCACGGGCTAGAGAAGAGATGGAGTGATGTGGTACAGGAGGACGTGCAGCTGAGTGGACTTGCCGATGACCGCTACCAGCGGTGTCAAGATCGACCTCTGTGGAGGAGGCTCGTGAAGGACGCTGCTACTGGGCAGTTGGAGGCAGTCGCCCTCCAACAACAACGGAGGGCGGAGGAGCGACGCTCACAACAACGGGCGGAGCGCTGGGCGGCTAAAACGCAGCAAGTTGGCACAGTGGGGGGCACAGGTGGTGGTGCATTGGCCACTCACCTCAGTCAGTTAACCCATGGCACCTGGGTCTTTCCCGTGACCTCCTGCCAGCGGGCCTTCCACGTGGCTAAAACGTGCACATAGCCTGGCACGAACGCCGTGGTGACGTCACCGCCACTTAGTGACGTGTGGCGGTTGTTGTTGTTGTGTGCGTGTGTGTACTATGTCCTGTGTGTGTGCTATGTGTGGTGTGCGTGTGTAGATCGCTGGCTGAGCTGTACGTGACGTACGGCCTGCTGTTTGCCAGCGGCTGCTCCCTGGCCTACCAGCCGTCCCTGGTCATCCTGGGCCGCCACTTCACGGCCCGCCTGGGCCTCGTCAACGGCTTCGTCACGGCCGGCAGCAGCCTTTTCACCATCGTCATGCCGCTCGTCATCAAGCACAGCGTCACCTCCATCGGGCTAGCGCACACCCTGCAGGTGACACACCCAGCAGCAATACTACTACCACCACCACCACCACCATCGTCATCATACACACAGACTCGCCACCACCCCCACCATCATCATCATACACACAGACTCACCACTACTACCACCACCACCGCCACCATCATCATCATACACACAGACTCGCCACCACCGCCACCATCATCATACACACAGACTCACCACTACTACCACCACCACCGCCACCATCATCATCATACACACAGACTCGCCACCACCACCACCATCATCATACACACAGATTCACCACCACTACCACCACCACCGCCACCATCATCATCATACACACAGACTCACCACCACTACCACCATCATCATCATCATACACACAGATTCACCACCACTACCACCACCACCGCCATCATCATCATCATACACACAGACTCACCACCACTACCACCACCACCACCACCATCGTCATCATACACAGACTCACCACTACTACCACCACCATCGTCATCATACACACAGACTCACCACCACCCCCACCATCATCATCATACACACAGACTCACCACTACTACCACCACCACCGCCACCATCATCATCATACACACAGACTCGCCACCACCGCCACCATCATCATACACACAGACTCACCACTACTACCACCACCACCGCCACCATCATCATCATACACACAGACTTGCCACCACCACCACCATCATCATCATACACACAGACTCACCACCACTACCACCACCGCCACCATCATCATCATCATACACACAGACTCACCACCACTGCCACCATCATCATCATACACACAGACTCGCCACCACTACCACCATCATCATCATACACACAGACTCACCACCACTGCCACCATCATCATTATACACACAGACTCACCACCACTGCCACCATCATCATCATCATACACACAGACTCACCACCACTGCCACCATCACCACCACAATCGTCATCATACACACAGCATCACCACCACTACCACCACCGCCACCATCATCATCATCATACACACAGACTCACCACCACTACTACCACCACTGCCACCATCATCATCATACACACAGACTCACCACCTCCACCGCCACCATCATCATCATACACACAGATTCACAACCACCGCCACCATCATCATCATCATACACACAAACTCACCACCACTGCCACCATCACCACCACCATCGTCATCATACACACAGACTCACCACCACCACTACTACCACCACCATCATCATACACACAGACTCACCACCACTACCACCATCACCACCACCATCATCATCATACACACAGACTCACCACCACTACCACCATCATCATACACACAGACTCACCATCACTACCACCACTGCCACCATCATCATCATACACACAGACTCAACACCACTGCCACCATCACCACCATCATCATCATCATACATACAGACTCACCACCACTACCACTATCATCATCATACACACAGACTCACCACCACTACCACCATCATCATCATCATACACACAGACTCACCACCACTGCCACCATCACCACCACCATCATCATACACACAGACTCACCACTACTACCACTACCACCACTACCATACACACAGACTCACCATCACTACCACCACCATCATCATCATACACACAGACTCGCCACCATCATCATCATCATACACACAGACTCACCATAACCACCACCATCGTCATCATACACACAGCCTCCACCACCACCATCATCATGATGATAACCTCACCGCCACCATCATCATAACTTCACCACCACCATCATCATCATAACCTCACCACCACCACCATCATCATCATAACCTCACCACAGCCACCATCATAATAACCTCACCACCACCATCGTCTTCATAATCTCACCACCGTCAACACCAACCTCACCACCACCACCACCATCATCATAACCTCACCACCACCATCATCATAACCTCACCACCACCATCATCATGACCTCACCACCACCATCATCATAACCTCACCACCACCATCATCATAACCTCACCACCACCATCATCATAATCTCACCACCATCATCATAACCTCACCACCACCACCACCATCATCATAACCTCACCACCATCATCATAACCTCACCACCATCATCATAACCTCACCACCATCATCATAACCTCACCACCATCATCATAACCTCATCACCACCACCATCATCATAACCTCACCATCACCATCATCATCATAACCTCACCACCACCACCATCATCATAACCTCACCACCACCATCATCATAACCTCGCCACCACCATCATCAAAACCTCACCACCACCATCATCTTAACCCTACCACCACCATCATCATAACCCTACCACCACCATCATCATAATCTCACCACATCCACCATCCTCATAACCTCACCACCATCATCATAACCCTACCACCACCACCATCATCATCATAACCTCACCACCACCATCATCATAACCCTACCACCACCATCATCATAACCTCACCACCACCATCATCATAACCTCACCACCACCATCATCATAACCTCACCACCACCATCATCATAACCTCACCACCAACATCATCATAACCTCACCACCACCATCATCATAACCTCACCACCACCACCACCACCATCATCTTAACCCTACCACCACCATCATCATAACCCTACCACCACCATCATCATAACCTCACCACCACCATCATCATAACCTCACCACCACCACCATCATCATAACCCTACCACCACCATCATCATAACCCTACCACCACCATCATCATAACCTCACCACCACCACCATCATCATAACCTCACCACCACCACCATCATCATAACCTCACCACCATCATCATAACCCTACCACCACCATCATCATAACCTCATCACCACCATCATCATAACCTCACCACCACCATCATCATAACCTCACCACCACCATCATCATAACCTCACCACCACCACCACCATCATCTTAACCCTACCACCACCATCATCATAACCCTACCACCACCATCATCATAACCTCACCACCACCACCATCATCATAACCTCACCACCACCACCACCATCATCATAACCTCACCACCATCATCATAACCCTACCACCACCATCATCATAACCCTACCACCACCATCATCATAACCTCACCACCACCATCATCATAACCCTGCCACCACCACCACCATCATAACCTCACCACCACCACCACCACCATCATCATAACCTCACCACCACCACCACCATCATCATAACCTCACCACCACCATCATCATAACCTCACCACCACCACCATCATCATAACCTCACCACCACCACCACCATCATCATAACCTCACCACCATCATCATCACAACCTCACCGCCACCACCATCATCATAACCTCACCACTACCACCATCATCATAACCTCACCACCACCATCATAACTTCACCACCACCATCATCACCATAACCTCACCACTACCATCATCATCATAACCTCACCACCACCATCATCATAACCTCACCACCACCATCATCATCATCATAACCTCACCACCACCATCATCATAACCCTACCACCACCATCATCATAACCTCACCACGACCATCATCATAACCCTACCACCACCATCATCATAACCTCACCACCACCATCATCATAACCTCACCACCACCATCATCATAACCTCACCACCACCATCATAACCTCACCATCATCATCATCATAACCTCACCATCATCATAATCTCACCACCACCTTCATCATAACCTCACCACCACCACCACCATCATCATAACCTCACCACTACCACCATCATCATAACCTCACCACCACCATCATCATCATAACCTCACCACCACCATCATCATCATAACCTCACCACCACCATCATCATCACAACCTCACCACCACCATCATCATCATAACCTCACCACTACCACCATCATCATAACCTCACCACCACCATCATCATAACCTCACCACCACCACCATCATCATAACCTCACCACCACCATCATCATCATAACCTCACCACCACCATCATCATAACCTCACCACCACCATCATCATAACCTCACCACCACCATCATCATAACCTCACCACCACCATCATCATAACCTCACCATCATCATCATCATAACCTCACCATCATCATAATCTCACCACCACCTTCATCATAACCTCACCACCACCACCACCATCATCATAACCTCACCACCACCACCATCATCATAACCTCACCACCACCACCACCATCATCATAACCGTACCACCACCATCATCATAACCCTACCACCACCATCATCATAACCTCACCACATCCACCATCATCATAACCTCACCACCATCATCATAAACCTACCACCACCACCATCATCATCATAACCTCACCACCACCACCATCATCATAACCCTACCACCACCATCATCATAACCTCACCACCACCATCATCATAAGCTCACCACCACCATCATCATAACCTCACCACCACCATCATCATAAGCTCACCACCACCATCATCATAACCTCACCACCACCATCATCATAACCTCACCACCACCACCACCATCATCTAAACCCTACCACCACCATCATCTTAACCCTACCACCACCATCATCATAACCTCACCACCACCATCATCATAACCTCACCACCATCATCATAACCCTACCACCACCATCATCATAACCCTACCACCACCATCATCATAACCTCACCACCATCATCATAACCTCACCACCACCACCATCATCATAACCTCACCACCATCATCATAACCCTACCACCACCATCATCATAACCTCATCACCACCATCATCATAACCTCACCACCACCATCATCATAACCTCACCACCACCATCATCATAACCTCACCACCACCACCATCATCTTAACCCTACCACCACCATCATCATAACCCTACCACCACCATCATCATAACCTCACCACCACCACCATCATCATAACCTCACCACCACCACCATCATCATAACCTCACCACCACCACCATCATCATAACCTCACCACCATCATCA